TTTTGGCCACAAAAACTAGCCCCAACAAATTATTTTGTTCCATCTCAATTCAAAAGCTTTTTTAAAAAGTATAAAATAGGGTTAAAAAGGCTTTTGGATTGAGATGGAATAAAACAATTTGTTGGGGTTAGTTTTTGTGGCCAAAAGTGAATAAACGTGAGAGAGAAGAGATGAGGCGGTACGGTGAAATACTCTAAGGATTTTTTATGCCACTTGAAAGAAAAATAGGAGGGTCTAACGTGAAATAACATGGGGAATTAGGAGTCTATACGATATTTTCCCGATTAAAAAAGAAAAAAAAACTGAGTTTGTAAAGGCCTAACCAAATGGACAGTCTAGATTCATTGTTGGAAGGGGGGATTCATTTTGACCTGATCTATGGTGCAAATTGAATTTTATTTTTTCAGGGATTGATTATTGGGATGAATAGAGGGTATGTGTAATTTTTTAGGTCATACAAATGTCATAAATATGGTTTTCTAAAAGTGTGGTTTCATTCTATTACAATGAGATCACTCCCATATATATACAAAGTACATTGAATATGGAATACAGCACCACCTGATCTATGGTGCAAATTGAATTTTATTTTTTCAGGGATTGATTATTGGGATGAAGTGTATTTGTAATTTTTTGGGTCTTACAAATGCCATAAATATGGTTTTCTAAAGTGTGGCTTCATTCTATTACAATAACATGGTAATATGAAATCACTCCCATATATATATCATAGTACACTGAATATGGAATACAACACCACTTGATATGTGAGTGTGTGTGTGCATATGTATGTACCAATGTATATACGTATGTATGTGTATGTGTATGTGTATGTGTGAGTGTGTGTGAATGTGAGTGTGTGTATATATATGGGTGTGGTTTGTACAAAGTTGCAACCTTAAACAATCCAATTAAGGCGCACCCCTAAATTTATTATATCATGTAATTTTGGTGTAAAATATTATTAGGATTATCCAAAAATCTATCTAATTATAAAATTTTAAATTTAAAAAATGGTTAAAATCAAGTAGATCTATAAACATATGAAAATCTTGAAAATGGACGGTCTAGATAATGTGTTGCAGCATGCACTATTTCTAAGATTCAAATTTATTTATTTTAATATTTATATATCTCAATGTCGAGATGATCAATTAGAGGGTTTTCCAACATTAGAACAACCTTTTCCGATAGATTTTTGAGGTGCTTCTTTAATTCTACATTTTAAAGTTGCAACCTTATGTAAACTTTTTCATATATATATATATATATATATATATATATATATATATATGGAAGATACTACAAAACGCCTATAGAAAAAAATGAACAATGATTTTTCCTACCTTCATCACCGTCCAAAGTTCATCGCACGGTCACGATTGTCCGGTAATGTTTCATTTTTTATTTTTTTTACAAATCGAAATGACATAAAATTTTGAGCGTGTGTTCATCAAAATAGGCAAATCTACAAAAAATATCAAAAAATATTTTACATGAAATAAATTGACCAAAATATTGGTCAATATTTTTTTCGCAAATTATTTTTTTTATATTTTTATTAGGTGCGCCTCACTAAGATGTACACACGTTCCAAATTTTAGATCATTCCGGTTTGTAGAAAAAAAAAATGAAAAATTAAACACTACTGGACAATCGTGACCGTGCAATGAATTTTGGACGGTGATGAGGGTAGGCGAAATCACTGTTCATTTCAAAGGTATTTTAATGCATTTAATTTTTGAAATTTTCTTTGACATTTTTATTAGATTCACCCAATGGTTTAAAAAATGGATCGGTGCCCCGGATCCGGTACCTCAAAAATGCATCCGGATTTGTGAATCGACGACCCGGATCGGAAATCGACTAAATCGATCAGATTAAACCTTAAAAAAAATCTTAAAAAATTATCAAAATTCATTATAAATGTTGTTTTTTAGAAATCCAATAAAAAATGGGGATACTACATTATCAACTTTCATTTTTTTCATCAATATTGAGATGTCCGCTCCCTGTAAGAACTTATGTTAACTATTAAATTTACATCACACAAAAGAAAAATAATAGAATTATCATGGATAAAGTATATAATTCTACTGGACTATAATAAAGAATGGATTAAATCGATGAAAAAATGGCCACCAAAATCTCGAATTGGCGGAAAACCCTACTCCGCTAAAAAGATCCAAATTATTACAACCTAACTATAATATTATATACTGAAATTGAAATTGTTGATTTATATTCTATAGTTTATTTTATTATCCAAATAATAACAAATCCAAAATATCTTACAATATCATTTAATTTAAATCATATTATTCACAACTGGAAGAAAAAATAGTATATCACATAATTTATAATGCAAATAAATTAAAAAAAATAAAATAAAAGATTTGGTTATCAATGTAGAAATAAATTCTAAAGTGGTATGAATTAGTGTTATATTTCTCCCTTAAAATATCCTCTAAACTAATATTTTTTAATATTCAATAAACTAGAATTAGTATTATTTTTGTTTGTTAATATCCTATGAGCTAATACTAATTTTTAATCTCAGTTAACTACTTAATTAATTATTAATCATATAATGAAATAATCTCGTGATATAATAGCCTAATAGAATTTTTATGTTTTATTTGGGTAGGTAAATTTAGATTTTTTTGGTTGAAGATAGGGGTGATGAGCACCCAATTATTATTATTAATAATTTTTTCATTTTTTATCATATAATGTAATTACCACGATCGAGTTGACTCATTGTTTTGTAAATCCCTAATTATAACTATTAATTACAATATAGTATTTTAATATTAAATCAAAATAATTTTAAAATATTAGTAAAAAACTTCCATATAATTTAAAAATAATTTAGTGTATATAAAAATAGTTATATTGACAAAAAATTAACATAATTATATTTAAGTTATTCACATAAACAAACAAGAATTTCATATAATTATGTTAATTTTTGTAAATTATTACATAACACTATATTCGTAATTATACGTAATTAAATATTATATGTACTTTATATTTGTATATCATAATAAATAAATAAATATATAATTAATCTTAAAAA